AAAAATGTCACAGTATCGATCATAATCCTGAATTTATCAGCAGAAATCCATGTTTTGAAGTCAGCCAATCAGCGTCGTTCAGCAATTCAGCATTCAGTAAAAAAATTCAGCGTTTTAGTATTACCCAAAAACTAGTGCTTGAGCTTCATATCAATTATGGACTAATGAAAAGCTTTGTTCGGTTTGTGGTGATTCTGGTGTGATATACGGCTTATAAACGAACTTTTTTTTAAGAAATTGATAAAGTTTTCGAAAGCATTTGATAGAAGACTCTTTAATAGGACAGATTAAATCTTTTCCTTAACTCTTCTTCCTCGTAGTGTTTTTCTAGTCAACTAGTATTACTTCGTTTACTTTCGAGTTTCAAACTTTGAAACTAGGTTAAAGTCTGAAACATACACACGCATGTTTTGGACTAGTTTTTAGAAAGCCTATAGCGTAACGTTATCGAGACGCGGCAATTTAATTAAGTCTCTGTTGGAATCAGAATATTTCTCTAGTAGATGTAGAGAATAAATATTTTCACGATATATGGGTTATTCGGGAAACAAAAAACTTACAGAGCCAAAGTTTACTGAGGACGATAGACTTTTGTTCTTCTTCGCAATTACACGTACCCTAAATTCGTTACTCATTTAAGTGACTTTCGACTTCAATGCTAATTGTATTTGACTTATTTAAATCTCAGAAATTATAAGTACGATGAGAATGACGCGCAAGTGAGCATTGTTCAGTACGATAAAACGTGATCATAGTAAGTTAATCAGCAATCGTATATTTTTAATTTTGGCTCATAAACTTGAAATCCATTACTTATTTGCTATAGATTTTGTACAAACGACAAAAAAAATGTCTTCTTCACTAATGAAAGTGGTTCAAAAACCAATTAATTCTATTATTGTTCCCCGCCGAAATTATTACGGTGGTATCTATGTAACCGGTCCGCCTTGCATTGGACTTGCCAGTCGCGTAAGTGAAAAAATTAAGAACTTTGTGAACGTATCATCACTGCTGTTTGTATCTATTTTCTTTGTTAAGGAAAAACTGATTAGTCTGGCATTATTTTGCTCAGTACCATTCTTGTATCCAATGTATATCTGGATACATCTTCAACATTATAATGGCTCCGGACGTACATGGTCGGCATATCAAAAACAAAACGCCGAAAAACATAAACGTGATCAAAAAATTGCTAAATCACGACAAGAAAAATCAAACGTTTAAAAGTTACAATATGCATTTACATAACTGAATGAATTTTTACTCTTATCGTATACCTTTTCTTGATTAGACAGAGAATAATTTAATACTGTAAAATGGTGTTTTCTAGTCGTGTTGTTTTTTCCTTTTTTGTATAGAAGAAACATATTTTCTCCTACCTAGTCATTTTATTACTTAACGAAGATCGTGTTAAATGATCAAATCTTTTCTACACATATGAAAACGTTTTCTTAGTTCGCTAATTTTTTGTATCATTTCTTTTTAAACGGTGATGCGGCAAATTCTTGACTATTATCTCTGTATCTGTGAGGCGCTTTTTTTTTATTCTTCTAGTCGATCAGGACGTATTGATACTGTTTGTTTGCTTGTTTACTTTTGTTTTAGATAAACAGATCATATTTTCTTGTCCTTTTGAGAAGTTTAATTGTTCTGGATTTTGGGTTGTTAAATTTTTTGATCAAAGATAAAAAATAAATGTTTCATACATGATTTATAAGAAAACCTTGTTACGGTATCTGTTAAATACAATAAGATATACCGAACATTCACATTGTTTATGGTTTAAACGGGGTTTGACAACATACGAGCACCATGAATCTCCAACAATTCCGCATATTCATAGCTATCAACAACAACTTCCGTTCACCGAAACCATTCCATCAAAATGTCATGTTGTTATTGGTAATCTATATCGGACACGAATAAGTAGAATTACATTGATTTTTGTCTACTTCAGCTGGTGGGGGTCTAGTTGGTATTTCAGTTGCGTATCATTTAAACGAAATTGGTATCAAAGATGTAGTACTTCTTGAACGAGTAAAGTGAGTTGGAGGAAAGATTTTATAATTTATTTACGTACACCGGAAAAATAGAATCGAAAAACACGATTATATGAAAATATCTGTGAAACGGAGAAATTGTGAGGTATAGTATTTTACATTTAATCGGCATCCTTAAAATATATACATATATGATATGCGCTTTTGTTTCGAAAGTTGATGATTAAATAAGTGTATAAGTGACGCTCATTTAGTCGAAGTATTGCATAAAACGTTTGTTTATGGATGACGAGGGCAGGTGACGCCAGTTTCTTGTTAACATAAGAAATGAAGAGAAGTGGCAACTGAATTGAGTCAACAGAAAATGGGAGGAAATAGATGATGTTATAATCCATGAGGTTTTTTTTGATTGATCGGCTAATGGATCCGTCACAGCTCATGACGATTGGAGAGCAAACTACGATTTCATGGTGCAAAATCGCGATTGAATCACGATTGTTCACCATCAAATCGTAGTCGCCATGAGCTGTGACGGATCGATTAGCCGATCAATCAAAAAAGAAACTTCATGGGAAATATGTATATCTTATAGTACGAATCGCTTTTACTTTACTTTTTTCGAACTATTGCAATCTAAACTTTACATATCTTTTAAATGAAAGAAAAAGATGAAACTCATAGTATTACTTGGATAACAATTTGCTATTCATTTCTGATTTTTGCACTTATATTACTTTTAAATCTTTTTGAATTTCTAAGTGACTTATCTAAAAAAAACGAAAGTTGAGCATGAATATTGTCTCTACATGGATTTGTTGCACTATTTTATGTCTTTTGATGAGAGAAATTGAAGAGAAAATGTATTGGTGTTTCGTAGCAATCACATTTGCTCATTTTCTTTTTTATTCTTGTTCAGGCTGGCATCAGCTGCCACATGGCAGTCTGGGGGACAAGTATCTTTGATTCAAGGAACTGTGATTGAAACAATATTTGCAAAATATTCACGTCAATTATATGAACAATTACATAAATCAGAACACGACATTGGTTTTACGGAGAAAGGAAGCATCTGGATCGCTCAAACATCCGATCGACTTCACACGTTGAAACGTCAATTAGCTGAAGCAAAGTAAAACTGTATCTTCTATATTTAAGTCTATACTCATCATTTATGTGTGCTTGTAGGGCATTAGATATTAGGTGTGAAACATTGAATACAGAAAAATTAATGGAAAAAGTACCAATACTTGATCCACATGAAATATGGGTGTGGTAAAAAAACTATTTTTTTGTATGTATGGTAAATTTAAACTATATACTGGTGTTTCTTTGTTACAGGGTGCATTATGGATACCACAGGATTGTATGGTAGATCCAGTTTCTTTATCAGTGACATTAGCACAGTTAGCCATGAAAGGCGGTAAGAGAATAACATGCCTCAACTTCATGGGATACACATGACAAGAGATTCAACGCTTTATTTATTATTTTTTAGGAGTGAAAATAATTGAAAATTGTAGTGTAAAGGAAATAAATACAGAAAAGCAACGCGCCGGAGAATATCATCATGTAACAGGTGTGTTAACGTCTCAAGGAGAAATTAAGTGCAATGTTTTTATCAATTGTACAGGAATGGTATGTATTAAGAAAGGCCCACTGTGTAAAACTACAGAATAAGAATGTGTATGCTAGCAAGAAGTTCCTTTTGTAAACTCAATATTGGTCCGAGTGAAATAAGTTGTACTGATGGGAAAAAATGCATTGTTTTTCTCGAAAGAGAAGCGGATGGATGACTTAGAAATAATGCATCAACCTGTTGGGTGATATGTGAGAAATAGGCGAAACAGTTAAAACTAGTTCACAGTATCTAAAAAATTTACTCTGCTGTCAGTTTAGCTTAGCCTTTCCTTCCACTATGACAACATCACTCGTTATGGTGATTTTTCTGAAGAAGCTAGATCCAAGTGTTTGTAAAAAAAAGTTCTGTTATTATATTTTTGATAAATTCATGAAAAGAATTCCAGTTGAGATAAAAAGCATTAACTTTTTTTAAATTCACGTTAGTGGGCGCGTGAACTTGGCTTTTTCTCAAATCCAACTGTTCGTATTCCGACGCAAGCATGTGAATATATTTGTTTAAAAACTAAACCAGTACCGAATTTTCCTCTGAATATACCAAGTAAGAGTGAAATTTTAGACTTTAATATTGCATTTAATGTAGTACGTGATATTATTTTAGTTGTACGAAGCCCTGATGAACACTTTTACGTTCAACCATTAGCTGATCAGAGTGTATTAATTGGCGGATTTTTACCAGAATCACGTCCAATATTTTCCAACGGTGTACCAGATACATTTAATTTTTCCTTACTTCAAGAAAATTGGGACGATTTTCGTACGTTAAACTTCTTTCATTCAACTTAGAGCTTTTGTTAAACAACTGTCAAAAGAAACGATATGCTTGTATGGTTTAATAGAGCACTCTCAGAATTAGAAGCATAAATAATTCTGGTTAGTTGTTTCGTGGATTATATGATAGCCTGAAAAAAAGAGTACCATATAGCGTGTATAATTTATTCAACTGCAGATATTTTTGTACATGTAATATTTCTCTTTTTTTGAAGAAGCTATACTTGGCAATACAATAAAGCGCCTATCTATATTAGCTGATTCTGATTGCGAAACCTTAATAACTGGTGCTGACAGTTTTTCGCCCGATGGTAAATTGATCATGAATGAATCAGCTGAAGTAATCTGAATAGTGTAAAAAACATCTTATCACATTTCAATATATTTTTTTTGTTCGATTTAGATTGATAATTATTTTGTTGCAACTGGGACAAATGCCAATGGTATTGCGTTAGGTAACCGTAGTTGAGTGGTTTCATGAAGGTAGTCAAAACAGACCGAGTCAACTGACGTATTTTAGCTGGTGGTATTGGTAAGTTTATAGCCGAATCAGTTTTTTTGGGCGATACAAAAACAAGTACATGGCCAGTTGATATAAGACGATTTATGCGTTTACACACGAACAAGCGATTTTTAAATGATCGATTAAGAGAAATACCAGGAAAACAATTTTCTTTAAAATATCCAACGTATGGTATGTCATTATATCGTACTGGAAGAAAATTACGTGTATCAGCATTACATCCAAAATTACAAGCATTGGGTGCTGTATTCGGAGAATTACTTGGCTATGAAAGACCATTATTTTTCAACATTGACGAAGCAGGAAAAGGTTTGGAAATACCATTGAACAAGTAGAAAAGATACAGTGCGATTTTATATCTAATTTAGATGAATATATTGAAGATCGTAATAAACAAGGTACATTTGGAAAGCCAACATGGTTTAATAGCGTTAAGAAAGAGTATAATGCGTGTAGAAGAAGAGTTGCTGTTATCGACATGACATCGTTTACAAAATTTGAAATAAAAGTAATTATTGAACCGAAAAGTAAAGTTTCAGATTCTGTCAACTTTATTATTTTTTGTTTCAGTCAGCCGGAAGAAGTGTTGTTGACTTTTTGCAACATTTATGTGCCAATAATATAGACAAACCAATTGGTACTGTAATTCATACGGGAATGTTAAATCAACATGGAGGATATGAAAATGATTGTAGTGTTGTACGACTAGGAGAATACCAGTAAGCACTAATCTAAATGCCCAATACTAGCATTGATTAAATTCTTTTTTTAAATTACAGCTTTCTCATAATCAGTCCAACATCTCAGTCAACACGTAGTATGAAATGGTTAAAATCTCATTTTCCCGATGACGGTTCGATTTTTTTATCTGATGTTACATCACTTTATACAGCATTGAATGTCATTGGTCCAAAAGCAAAACATTTGCTCGGTGAGATTAGTGATGAGCCATTCAACGATTTTGCTCGTATGACCTGCAGAGTACGGAAATTTATAAAGAGAAACCGTCTAGAGATTAACCTCGAATCTTTTTCTAGGAAATAGATGTTGGTTTCGCTAGTCATATTTATGCAATGCGTCTTACACATACTGCCGAAGACGGATTTATGTTATATATTCCATCAGATGTAATTTTATTAGATAACGAGTCAAACAATTTTAAACATTTTATTGCAAGCTTTCGATGTCATCTCGCATCATGATCAACATCACTAATATCGACTACTACGAAAAAAATGGATATTTATAATTTTGAATGATTCATCGTCATTGTACGATCAATGTTTTGGCCTGTATTTCTGTCGCTCCTAATCTTCATTTGGAGCATAATTATCTTTAATGAAGTCTCATTGATGGTCTAGCTGTTCAATTTGTTCATCAGTAATATCTCTTTAATCTCTCATTTCCGTTTGTTTTTCTCGTACGTCAATTCAAAACTCAACGTTTGCTTCAATATTCGCATATACACTTGAGTGCACATCCTATTCTCATGAATTTTGTCGATTATCCTCTGTTCATCTTAATATTAAGTCCGATTTATTTGTTGTGTAAATCCGATTTAAGTGTTGTTACAGTTCTTGCACTCAATTTGCAAGCCGATACCACGAAAGATGTTTTTCTCGTTTGTTTTGTGATTCTTAGATCAGCTTTTGATGTTCATATCTCGTAAAATTCTTGTCAGTTGTCGGCAGAAGACGAACGACTCATTTCTCAAATAACTGAAAGCCAGAGTCAGCATGTCCTCATTTTCTTTCAATGACTGCGATGATGGTGAAGGTAAATACTATTTACTTGTTGCTACTGCCTATGTTTTTTCCTTTTACAAATCACATGTTTTATTGTTCATGCTACTATTCATCTCCGAGAGCCATTTTTAACTAATACTGTTCTCAGATGATCGAATTCGTCGTTCAATCCTTGAGTGGTTGGCCAGATTCGAATGACGAACAATGTGATTAATCCGATTTTGTGACATCTTGATAGTCTTCTTTCGACAAACCGTTGACTCAATGCGATCATTCCTTTTTGTCGTTAATACATCGAGAATGTCAATTTTATGTTCACTAAGAAATTTAGTGGTGAGTCGAATGTTCGAATATAAATGATTGGTCAAATCTAGTATTTTTAGTACATGGTTTTGTCTCCCCTTATGATGATAAACACACCGCATAATGAATCGAAATAAAGACTTTCACCCCATGATCGATGAATTGTTTCTTCAAAATGGCACTTGATCGCATCGATCAAGATCAAGCTAGGCAGGCTACTCATAGCCAATGAGATTATTCTTTATTATTCTATTAAAGATAATTATGCTCTAAATGAAGATTAATAGCGACAGAAATACAGGCCAAAATATTGATTATATAATGACGATGAATCATTCAAAATTATAAATATCCATTTTTTTCGCAGTAGTCGATATTAGTGATGATGATGATGATGCGAGATGACATCGAAAGCTTGCAATAAAATGTTTAAAATTGCTCGATTCATTATCTGTCTATCATCGATTTTACAGAAAATACTTTTACATGAAATTAATTCATTTCAATTATTCCATTGTAGTATGCACTGTGTGTGTATGATTTATTAATGGAGCAGGGTAAAGACTATGGTATAATTAATGCTGGGTAATTCGCAGTATCTTCAGTAAAAAGTCATTATTCTAAATCATATACATTGTTTAGATATTTTGCAATGAGAACGTTACGAATTGAAAGTATGTTTGCTTTTTGGGGACAAGATCTAGATAAAATGATAACACCATTAGATTGCAATCGAGAGTTTCGTGTTCATTTTGATGTAAGAAAGAGTAATTTTATCTTCTTTATATTTAACAGTTAATGTTCTATTTGTTTGTTTTCAGAAAAATTTCATTGGAAAAGAGGCATTATTATTACAGCGAAAACAAGGAATAAAAAAACGTTTTATTCAATTTTTACTTGAAGATCATGATCTTGATTTGGATCCATGGTGAGATTCATTTTTTTAAGATATATGATAATCTGTTTATACTTAAAATCATTTAGGCCATGGTCTGGGGAACCAATTTATCGAAATGGACGATTTTGTGGTTTTGTCACGTCTACAGCCTACGGTTTTACGCTTGGAAAACAAGTATTGTACAATCTTATTTACAAATTGACTGACATAATTGCTCTTTCTCTTTTCAGGTTTGTCTTGGCTATGTGCATGCAGAGGGAAAAGACATCTGTACAACAGATTATATTAGAAATGCGACGTATGAAATTGATATTGCTGGTAAAAGATTTAAAGCAAAATCAAATCTCTATCAACCAAGTGAAATGGGACCAACAATTCAACTGAGTACACCCTAATATGATCGTTTAGCTTCCATTCTATATATTTTTGTTAAATGTCGTATTGTTAATCAATTAATTCACTGCATTTTTGTTTAAAGTACATTCCACTCTTTGACTTCACATGTACAAATAACATACATTTTTTAAAAAAACATCTACATTCCTACATCTACATATAATTCCGTATTTTTTCTGAAATTTTCTATTTTTGTGTCATTTAAACATACGCATTAAAGAGCGATAAAAACTTAGTTTAGACAAAATTGCCGTTATATTCTTTCAAAAGATAATTTTAAAACATTTTTATTCTTATTTTTCTTATAACTACTTTATATTAACCATCTCTTCCTCTAAAATTCATAAATACATTATACTTACGAGTCAGTCTACGATTTGAAATTAACTCGCAGTTACTCCCGTTTACTAATCATTTATTACAAAACAAGTACAAAATGAAAGAAGGCGAATTACTTTTCAGATAGATATTTTTCAATTAGTGCTACAATTGTTTGTCTTACTTTGACCACACTGGCTGGATCATTGACATTAGCTGAACGAAGATCTAAATGATGTGCTCCTCCGTCAATAATGAAACTGGGCAATTTATTATTGATTGGTGTCAAGACACCTCCACTAGACCAAGGATCTAAATTGCCATTTGTAAATATAATATTTGAGTGTGACTTCAATAAAGTCACATTTTTGCCACCATATTCAATGTATGTCCATTCTGCACGTGGACGTATTTGCCATTGTTTATAACAATCATCTGAATAATTTTGAAAATTCCATTGAATTGGCTCGAACATATCATTTTGTCCATCTGAGCACATTGGCATTGCCATTTCAGTACAAGCTTGATAACTCCAACCAAGATCACCTAAACTCGGCGTGCCTGAGAAAACAAATAACTCGCTAGACGAAATATAGAAGAATAAGTTTACATGACTTTATCTTTTTTTTCGACAGATTAATTTCTATAATACTGTAACAGCATTTATCCCGCTTGTATTCTAAGAGAATAAAACTTTTATTGTATAGATTTACCTTGAGATTCAATATCGAAGCATTCAGTCTTGCCCGTATAATTAAAATAGACATTAACACCTTTAATAATATGTTGTATAATATCTACATCATCATTTTTTATCATCGGTGTTTGTGTGACATTTGAACAAAAAACACGAATTGGATATGCTGGCAATTCACTAAGAAATGATGTTTCATATGGATAATCAACCTAAAAGAATATCTTTTTTAGTAGTGTTTGAAGATTAATTAAAAATGTTCATACCATAGCAAAATTTCCATACATATCAATTAGCCAGTCTTTTAATTCATCAACATTCTTTAACGGTTTACAAAAGTGAAATAAATCAGTTAATGTCTGTAATGATGATTGTGCTAGACGATTTATTGCAGCCCATGACGCACGGACAAGTTCGACACACGATGTACTTTCACGAAGAAAATCTTTAGTAACAATCTGCGCAAACGCTTCACATCTTGTGGAAAATTGTAGAATTGGTGCAGAGGCTGCATGAGAAGCTACAAAAATATGTGGATACTTCATGCGTGCATAAGCTAAAAGAAAAACAGACTAATAGTTTCTATTCTTAAATAAATACAGTAAACATTGGAAAATTTTCTGTAATTACCAGCTAGCATTCCTCCATATGATCCACCAAAAACCACTACCTGTGATTGTTCAGCTCCTCTAATAACTCGACGAATGTCTTCAATTAAATAGACATAATCAGCTAAAGCTTGTTCAGATGTCAAATATCTTGTATATTCGGGTTTTGAGTATGAATCATTTCCATACGGTAAACTTGTACCGTAATAACGATGTTCACCAAATACTATCATGGCATGAAATAATGGAGCAATATCCCACATAAATCCGGTATTCTCACAAAATAAATCTATGGCACCTTCATTTCCAGCATAGAAAAATATTGGTGATCCACTTTTCCAAAAATCTTTATTCAAAATATATCGTTGTTCAAATGTATCCGTATTTGAAAATCCAAAGTGATCAACATTTTGTGTAAATGTTTGAAAAACTGAGCAACGAATATCGTCACGAGTTGAATGACGTTTTGGTATAGGAAAAATTCTTCTCAACTTAATTGCTAATGTAAAATGAATAAAACCTAACAAAATGAACCATGTTAAAGAGCTCATTTTTTTTTTGTTTTGTTTTGTTGAAATAAAAAATCTATAATAAGTATATATACATTGGAGTGAATGTGTGAAAGTGGAATAATATCAAGTGAAATACACAGTCGTAACTTTATTCCTTTTTCAATCAGTCAGCGATTTATCATTTTGTGTTATTAATGGATCTTAATCTCTTAAAATGTTACATTAGTATGGAAAAATGAGTGTTTTAGCTTGAAATGACCGTGCACACAACGACTATTTGATATATTTTCATTTCTTTATTTATCCTAAAGAAAATATAGTTCAAAAGCACAAAACAAAGTATCCATCATTTTTTTAAATGAAGAAAAAACTTTAGTTAGTTTTTAGACCTGCTCTATTTTTCCTAAAATCTTGTAAATTAGTAGGATCTATCATCACGTAATATTCGTACTCAAAACAATCTTTCTAAATAAAATTATGTTCATTTTGGCTAGAAGATGATTAAGTTGAATATAAATCAATAAATTAGTTAGTTTCAACGGAAAAAATATTGTATCATTAACATTAATTGTATCACAAAATTTACACAAAATGGTATGATTGAATATTGCATAAATCAGAGTAGAATCGATCAAACCACCATCTTCTCTTGTAATTATAATAATTGATGGTACGAACAGAAGCAAAGTAAAGTTGAAAATTTGAAAATTTAATTTCCATTTTGTTTTTTTCCACTCTGAAAACAAGATTCTAATGTGAGTCCGTTTCTCATTCAAAACACTATTTGATACGGTACTATCTTGAAAGAACTATTTTAGAGGCAATTCAATTTATTCTCTAAAGAAATTCCGTTTCAATTGTTAGCTGATATTTTACAATATTTATTATTATTTTACTGCTCTTGTTTTCACTACATACAAACATTTTTAGAAGATGGATACGTTAAACGTTTCAATCTTAGTAAAAGAGTCATTCTCTAGTTACAATCAAGCAACAGCACAAACATAAGTTTCAGCCATCTTGTATAAAAAAAATAAACAGAATATTTGTCTAAATATTTCATTAATAAATATGGAGTAATTTACATAGGGTGATCAAAAAGTTTTCGGAATCTCGTTCGTTGTATTCTATAATTGATGCTTTCAAAAGTTCTATTACATGGGATGATAAAGGCATGCATCCTCAACTACCATCCAAAGTTTCAAGTGAGCAACGCATTGGTGAGAGGTTGCTAGACATTCATTATCGTACGAGAAAGAACCATCCCTGGTTACAGTTTGTTTGAAATATTTGAAATCAGAATAAACTTTATTTGTCATTTCTGCCATTGGAATCATCAAAACTCAGATAGTACAGAGTCCGAAAAAGGTGAATGATATATGGGAATCACTCCATGTCCCTGAAGATATATCTTTCATTTGTGGATGCTATTATTCTTTTGCTTTGAAACCTGAGTTAGCTTCTACACTGTCAACCTTAAGTGAAATTTTTTCAATTTTAGTCAATGAGGAATGGATCAGCGTATTATGGCATATGATAGACTGTGTCCAAGCAGCATAATTCGAGTGCTAGCGCGTCTATTTTTCATAATTTCAGGATAAGCAAAGATTTTTCGTGTGAAAAACCTTGGTTACTGGTCTGTTTATTCTAAGCATCTTCTCTATAGCGGTAATAACGTCTGAAAAGCATCACCTATATTCAGCGACCGTGCTGTAACGTACCTGATCTTCACCGTAAGACATCCCACAATTCTGTATAACCGCGGTTTACCACCGAGCGAAAGCTGAGCCTTGTAAAGAAGAAGCATCAAATGGGAACATTATCGGTCCAGAAATACGGGATTCGGAAAGTATGCCGCAGAATTTCATTAAATGGCGACAATAAGTTTTTGATTTCATAAATCGATCAGCAAATGGTGCTACTACTCAGATATAGAAAAGAAAGCTTCCCACAGCGTGAGACAGAGAAGAGCGAGGACAGTTCCGAGAACTTTTTGATCACCCTATGTAATCTAAATAGAATGAAATGAAAAGGTTGGATGTTGTACACATAAAACATGGATACGCTAAACACTGTTGTAACAACTGTTATTATGAAAATTCATTTGTTGCAAACGTTTATTATCCAATTTTCATTCTTAACAAATACTATCTAAACGGTCAAAACTTTTGAATTGAATGGAAAATAGAAAACAAAGAACACTGTTTATTCATAATCAAAATCAAACAAAAATTTGTTTTATACAAACAAATCATCTTCGTCATACGAAGGGTTATATTATTTAAAAAAAAAATAGAAACAGACAAATAATAATCTCCTCATTTTTTATCACATTGAGACTCCATAATAGATGATTGTGATTTATAGAGATTATCAATAATAACCTAAATAAAAAATGAATTCGTTTTATTTGTTAATAGGAGAATATTTTAATAACAAATGTTTAATTTTTATTAATTCCAGCTAAATTCTTCTTATTTTTTTTAATGTATTATTATTAATGTGTAAAAACCGAAGCTTTCGAATCTAGCGTCTTAAGAGTCGAGTAAAAAATATATCAAGTACTACATTAATCAATAAAATTTGAATCGGTCTGTATATATAACTTCAACTAAACTGGACTGAAAACTTATAAGTACAGTTGACAGTGCGTTAAAAAAATTGTCGAGCTATGGTAATAGAAAAATAAAAGTAAAAGTTTTTAGGTTTTTACACACTAATAATATTAGACAAATAAATAATGAGTTTAGCTTGAAATTAGTATAAAGAAAACAGATTTTTTTGTTATTAACAGTATATTAGAAGGTGTGTCATAATATTAAATACCTGACGACGAATTATTTCAAGACTTGTCTGAGCTTTTTTCAATAATAAATCAATTTTTGATCGATCTTTTAAATCAAGATTATGTCGAAAATCATCTCGGATATGCCGAATAAAATATTCTCTAAATGATAAAGAATCGATATATTAATACTAAATAGTTGTCTGATTGGCTAAAGGAGGATAACTATACGACAAGTGTAATATGGTAAAGAATAATGCTAGAGCAAAGATGTTCGTTATCCTAATTGATTTTCAGTGTATTCTTAGGTAAATAGTACTTTTTATAACAGGAATTCTGTTCGGTTTTAAATATTGAAAAGACTGATGTATGTGAGACGTTTGCAAACCATTTGTACTGTTCCTGCATAAAACATGGACACGCACATATCTGATACAGTCCATCATAAATCGAAGGAATTTTTGCAAGGAATATTATCCATAATTGTGCCTAGTTTCGCTGCAAAATCATTCCTTGAGTTATTCGTAATTCTTGAGATACTAACAAAAAATTTTATTCATTTTTTAGCTTGGATACTTCTAGTGGTAACAATTAAAATCAACTTTTTCTATTAAGAATTCATTTTTAAAAACTCTTTTTAAGTTCATTAGAAGCACACAAAAGTGGGCTAAAAAATGTGCTTTTTGATTTTACTAAGCTGCTCGTCTTTTGGTTGTACAGACTTAAACTATGCGTAGTCATAATGTAGAAAGTTTCCAATTAAATTAAAAATTAAAAAGTTCTGATTTGAAGACTAGTTTTTCTCGCTAAATGTTCCGTTACATTTTTTCTATTTTGTTTTTGCTGCATCTCGGCATTAAAGTGGTCCTATATACATTTCTTTTTACCAAAAATAGAACTTGTAGAACAGATATCTAAGTTTTTATACCTCAACTCTGGTATTTTAGGAGAAAAGTTCAAAAGACTGCTCAGATGTTTCATCACGTTTCTTGGCAGTATCATCAACTGTTCTCGCTTAAATCATGATGAAAAATCTAGGCCTATTTTATATAAACGAAATCTCTTTTAAAAGGATGTTTAATCCGAATAAATTTTCGTTAGAAAAAGAAAACAAATTTCCAATGTTCTTGTGGGGATGCTGAGGACAAGAAAGAAAATTCTAGAAAAACCCCTCACTGCAAATGGTGATACTATGAAAACTATCATGTTTCTCAAGGTTTCTAGTGACAATATCGACTGAAATTAGCGAAAAAGTTTCAGATAAATTCTGATTTTTCACAACATATGACTAACAAACATCTCATGTTAATCTTGTCAAGATATTTGAACATTTCTCCAAGTTTTGAAAAATGTTTAACTGTAAAAAAAAAGGTCATATGAATAACACCGTACCGATAATTATACAAAGAAAAGTTTCTACTTTCACGAATAAGTTGTTTATAAATGATTAATACTGTAGCTAAACGATTTGATGACATAATCTATAAGTAAATTTAATGATAAAAAATAGGTGAGAATAGTTGACTGTCAAGATCATAAACTAATATCTAAAAAGATTGAGAATAATTATCCAATACAAATTCACTATGACTAATATAAATTAGTAGACTTGAATAAATATAACAGCAAATTATTTAATTGACAATAAAATAATTGTAGGTTCACCAGATCAAGCTTTATTTCACACAAATGAAAATCACTAATAAAAGAAATGAACAAAAAAAAGTGTGTATGCACAACTACGTTAACGTAGTTTTGGTTAGATGAATTTCTCTTTATTTAGATTAATTTCTCTTGATTTTCGTTTTTCAAGTGTTTTTATTTTTCTTGTTTCTTTATAAAGTACTTGTTGATCAATCCATGGATCATTTAATAAAAATTCTAATTTATCTTCTGTTCGATCACGAATACGCATAACACGATGACCTGTTGCCATTGATTCGCAATTAACAAGTAATTGTCGACTAGATTTTGCTACAAAACATATTAATGTCAAACGCATTCTCTAAAAAAGAATAAAATAAATGCGTTCTGCATCAATTAATATTGAAAAGCAAATTTGTTTACTCTAAACATTGTTCAATTCAAGAGACACAATTTTACTGCATAATCTATTTCCATAAATACCAAAATAAGGTTTTTCTTACATACACGTGAATTAAGAAAAACAAACATATAAACACACAAAACAACAGAAAAGAAAACAAAAGAAACTATAATCAATATTTTTCATTTTTAATAGATATTTGTTGTTGTAAGACAAGTTCATTGTCGTCGTTACTATATACACGTTCATCGTAATCTGAATCATTATCTTCACTTGGACAATTAAGAATAAAAAATGAATTATTACTATTTAATTGTTCATCCTCCTCGTGTTCTTCGTCTTCTTCTGCTATTTCACCATTATCACCATTATATTTTTGTTTTGACATACATTTTCCAGCTAAAACATCTCGTCGAAGTTGCATTAAAGCTGTACGAATCCTATTCCATACTGAATTAAATTGTACATTAGATAAATTCCATGCCGTACGAATACAATCTAAAATACAGTTACACTTGAAAATGAACAGACATTTTATGAAATTATACACACTTACGCCTTAAAAATATTGTTCTTTCATTATCTTCAATATGTAGTCGATCTAATATTTCATTTTTTGTAAATATATCACAACATACTTGTCTAGTAAATGATGTTATAGTCATATTAGGTCGTAAATGTTTTATCATATTTCGTCCATTAAATGTCTAAATAAAATTTGAAATCGTAAAGTTTCTAGGTGTTTGTTTAAAAAGGCAAAACGCAAGCTGAGAATGGAAAAAAATAATTTGTCCGAATTAATCTCAACTATTTTATACATCAACAAATATTAACTTTAGCTTACTCTTACTATTTAAATAAAAAAAAAAATTTTCTTAACTACTCTGTTTACTTTTTTTTAGTTTTTGATCATAAACTCTTACCGTTGTTTCTTTAATATCTGCTGACGTTGTTTCCGTTGGTATTATTACTGATGAATCTTTAGGTAGATTATCCATACATTCAGTACGTTCAATTTCTAACGTACAATTCTGTTTTTTTCGTCTCATATTTGTGATCGGGTCAGGAATAATTGCTTTGTTTATTTCATCTGTAGTCTCTTGTTTACGCACTAAATTGTGCTTGATTTCATCCACACTACCAGCCAATCTTAAAACAATATTCTCAAGTGAATCTAATTTTTCGTTTGGTTCTAGAACAAATAATTTCAAATATCTCAAGTTTTCTAGATTGACATAAGAACAAAATATTTCAATCAGATGTTTTAGATTCGAACTAAATTGAGAAACTCATTTTCTGGTGTATTAAAAATTATACGTTAATTTTCTTTTTCTAAGAGTTTCAATATTTCATATAGAAAGATTAAATGTAATATCTTGAACGAAATTCAAAAGTGAGAATCCACAGAAATCCATGGTTTTCTTTATGATAGAATGAAACTGAGGAATAGTTTTTGAGTTTTCCTTTCTAATAGAAAAATTACATATCGACAATTACCCTGTCGTATTCTATCACTAAGATTTAGTTCATTTTGTGCATAATTTAATATTGAATCTAAAACAGTAAAATCGAAGCAAAGTTGGTATGACTTGGAACAAATTGGGGAAGAAAAAAATAAATATCTCACTCGTTTGAATTATGGATACTGGAACGAGAGATGACGAATATGGTGTAAGAGTTCTGATATTTGAGTGAGAATGTGTTGTAGTTGCTAAAAAACATATTAGAACATAAGGTCAGATAAATACTGGGGTCGATTCAGTACATCAATTTACTTTCTCCATTTGTCATCGTTGGTAGACAGGGTTCCTGTGATGTTGTACAAGTAGAATCTATGTAAAAGACAAATGAAGTTGATTAAGAAATAGAATCCACCTAGTATTTTCCTCGAAAAAACTTAGCTATAATCAATCTAAACCTTTATTGCATTTATTTGTGGTAAGATAAATGTTTTCGAATAAGAGTAAGGTATCTGATCACTTTGTTTCAGCAACATAGAAGAAAAATTTTATAATCTTAAGATTTGTCGGTGAATCGCGTCTGGTGTATATAGTTTACGAAACTAACGTAAGTATACGACGATTATTTGAGAAACCAGTTTCCAAAATAAGAAGAAACAGAAAGAAACAGAATTCTTATGAGAATACACCTCCCTTCTAACAACATGGTGCATAAAATACTAGAAAAGAGTCTCAAATCAAAAGAAACATCACTGTTTTTTGGAAGAATTAATTTAAAAAAACATTTGCCTAAAGATCAATTGAAGGAAAGAAGATAGAGGCATCCGGTTTGCGTCAGTCATTAGTCAAGATCGTGTTGCTTGACTACGGAAGAAAACTTACTAAAATACTTTATGAATATTAGTTTTTAAGAAAATCTTGAAAAACAAGAAGGACGAGTGCATAGTTTTTCGAGTATGAGTACCAATTACTTTGTGCTGAGTACAAGTATTCAACAATTGAACTCAAGTACAAGTTCAAGTACATGTAGAGGGCTTATAAGACAAAATAACACTAGAAAAGAACAACATTGTTTTCAACACCAGAAAAACAATCTACTCACATTGAAGAAAGAAGAAAGCATGGAAAAGAAAAGAATAAATTATTTTGACCAATTCTTAATTTAAAAATCTAGTATTCGAGTACCTTTTCGTTAAAAAAATCTCGAGTGCGAGTATTACAGATTTGTATTTGATTAGTACCTTTGATTTCGAAAACCGTCATACAAATATTCCATGTTTCTTTATACATAGTCCTAAGTGTTTTATCAAGAGTGGAAGTTATCCCAAAATTGAACAAGTGAATGTGTTTTCATAATAAATAATGAAGCCTTACTATTCTCTGTACGAATTTTCTTCAAGATTGTATCTTTATTATTATGACTTTTTCTTTTATCTAAACGAGAACAAAATAATCAATTTATTAACTTTAGATGTATAGGAGATGCTTACGTGTTTGATTTGTTATTTCATCTGATTGCTGTAAACGACCTATCAACCATTTTAAATATTTATTTAACGATAAATTATTTTCATTTGGTATTAATGTTAAAATTAATTCAAATAATTTTTTTTGATTACAAAATGAGAGGTTTGTTTCAATTAGAAATTTTTCAATAGCCAAATAAGTAGTTAGAACAGATATAGTTGCATTTGGATACAGTAGCATTTCATTATTGTCATCAATATATATTTCATTATCTTCTTCTAATAGTGATGATTGGCAAACAAACGCATTTCGTTTAGGACAGGACAATAAACGATTACCATACGAAATAGACATCTAAAAAATATTGATGAGATGTTTTGCTCATACTAGTTTAGCTGTTCAACGTTAATCAGTAAGACTCTGACATAGGATCCTAAGTAGGACTGAATTATAGAGTAGGAGTAAAAAGTTTTTCGTCGAAGGTAGAAGGAATTTCTAAAAGAATAATCTTTCGTCTGTACGTGATACTGTTTTATCAATCAACCGACTTCTCATATTATCACAACAAAGTTCATAGGGCAATAGGAAAACAGCCACATCAGATGATAGAAAAAAAGCAGCATTTGTGCTATCAGAGCTATTGTAGAACAATAGCTTTTTGCTAAGAAAAAAGACAGATTTTTCAATTACTGGCTGGAAGTACTCCATCCAAACGCACTCGCTATTCGATACCCTGTTCCGAGAAACTTACAGCATTAACTATGCGATGAAAAAAAGAATTTCTTCATGGAGAGATTCCTCGTTTTTTATATGGCACTATTGTTCAGTGAATCCTAAAAAGGATGAACGTTTATATAAATGATGCAATGAATGGCAAAAAAATTACTACTAAAAGAATTATATATTAAAAAACAACAACAAATTGTGTGTTGTGTAAATTTAAATAAATAAAATAACAAAACACAGTCAGATGGCACCCTAATTTTAAACAAAAATAGAAACAACATTACAGATGTGAACATCTATAAAGGCGCGTATGTAAGAATAAAATAGAGCAATTAAACACCATCGATAAAGCGGTATTTGTACACCGGAAACAAAACTAGCACAAGGGCAAGTCTAAAGGTGTCATTGTTAGAGAATAAAATAGCAATGTATGAAAGTAAACAAGATTGGCCGATTTATCCTTATTAAATGAACTGTCACTAACGAGGGACGCTCGCCAGATGACCAGAAGCTTTTCTGACAAAACAGATTTTTAGGAATAATTTTTGGTGCTAATCAAGCATCTGATGTCCATTTCTGCTGGCAGACCTTTCTTGAGTGAACCCATAGAAAGCCGGCCCTTAGAGGCGTACATCAAATCTTCGAATCAAGATATTCTGATCTGTATTTTGTAGAGCTCATTGAGCACTGTATGTGAAGAAATTTTCGCAAATACCAAGCAAATATTAACAGAGTTAAGGAAAGGTTGAGGGAAAACAAAGCCGAAAAATTCAGATTTTCCGCGACAATTCAAACTGAAAACTTTCTAACCTGTTAATACTTGCTTAAATTTCTTCACATACGGAACCTGATGAGCTCTGCAAAACACACAGATCAGAATCTCTTGATTCGAAGATTTGATGTACGTCTCTAAGGACTGGATTTCTGTAGGTTTACTCAAGAAATACCTGTCAGCAGAAATGGACATTAGATTCCTGATTAGCACCAAAAATTATTCCTAAAAATCTATGTTTTGTCAGAAAAGCTTCTGGTGATCTTCCCTCTGGCGTATTTGAATGTAGAAGATGAAACTCTTACTTTCTGTTCTTTTGCATGAAAAAAAATTGTTCGATCATAGAAAGCTTTCACAAGAATGATAACATCCAGAACGATAACAAAAAAGAAAAGCAGCGAATGTTTTACCGAAACTTGTATAATAAAAGTACAATAATACATAAAGCAATAACAAATCCTAAAACAACTGAATCTTTTCGTTTTTTCACTTTAATTCTTTGCATTAAATTATTAATTAATGGAAATCTATTTGACAAGGAATTAACCTTTTGTTTTATAGCTATCATATGTTTACGTTGATCTAATAAATTTGTTTTTGTTTTTAATGCTATTTCGAAATTAACGTCCATTAAACGAATTGAATTATCTATATAGCTATGTTCTTTAAAAAGATTATCTTGTCGTCTCGAACTTAAGCCGCCACTGGCCGTACCTGTTGTCGATTGACCAATACCATTAATTGTTGGTTCTTTAATACCACTTGAGTTGATCATTAATAAATTTTCACGATTCTTAAAATTTCTTATATTAGTTTTTGTTCGTTCATATTCTCGTCTATGATCTTGTAATATTTCACAATGACGTTGTAATGTGAGGGTAACACCCAAATTTGGTCCCGATAATGATGAAACAGTATCAGACATTCGTTTATTTACATCCGATAATTTTTCCAAAAGTTTTTCAATTTCAATTGATATTGTTTCACACATTCGATCACTGTTTGAAGATATAGTAGAATTTGTTGAGGATAACAATGTATCGATGTGATGATGATGATTATTCTTTTAGAAATTCCTTCTACCTTCGACGAAAAACTTTTTACTCCTACTCTATAATTCAGTCCTACTTAGGATCCTATGTCAGAGTCTTACTGATTNTGATGATCACGCGCATCATAGTTGGAGTATAATTTCGAAAATGACACAAGCTAAACGATTTTCGTTTTGAAATGAAAGTTCACTAGAGGAACGACCACTTACTTTAGCATCAATTTCATTTTCAAGCATTCGTGCTTGTTTTTTTAGATCTTCCCATTCGGTACCAGTTGCTGTCATCCTTGATTGTGTTGTGGTTGTATATGTACGATTTATTGACATCACTTACAAGACATTTAAAGTTCTCTGCTTTTTATGTTTTTTTTACTCAAAGTGATAACATTTGGACTGGATCTAAGACTAAAATGCAGATATTTTGAGAATAGTAAATAAATGCGTCTATGAATAATTATTAGAATTTAATA